CGTGCCCGGCGGCTGCCCGAACTCTCCCTGGGTGTCACTAGGGTCTAGCGTTAGGACCTTCTACCAGTTACTCGGACCCTCTGAAGTACGGGCAGATCTGGCTTATTAGTGGTCAGCGTGACACCCCAAGACACGTCCATAACCCAGTCCCGAGAAAGCAGCAGGCCTGCCTGTAGACGGGTGGGGGGGCACCTTCTCTTTATAGGGACCCTAAAACTATCTCGTAGGATGATGAGAGGTATAAGGCAATTGACAAAGGACCTGACACAGCGCTGGCCTCCAGAAGATAACAGATCCATGCCCTTCGCCTTGATTGCTCTGGAAGAAACACGCTCAGACACGCCTCAACTCCTTAGCCGAGCACTTGCCTAAGACGGAACTCCTCTGTCTGGCATTCAGGGCCGTCTGCAGTTGGGCAGTTACCCGTATTTCTCGCTGCTCTTCTGCACGTGTAACTCTGCCTGACCGCAGTACTTGCCGATTCCTTCTTGGACAACGCTTCCCAGAAAAGCTTGTCACCTCCCATTTGTCACTGTCTTGGCATGAGCACTCCTCCTGTGACAGCAAGGAATCTTACTGTATTGCCGTCCGTGGTCTAATATTAATTGGGCTCCATCCGCAAAGAACACAACACCGCCGTGCGCCAGCAGAAGAAAATTAAACAGCTTTATTTAGATATAGAAATGTACATTAGTAAGGAGGAAAAAGAAAGAAAAGAGGGGGAAACACGTCACCACCGTCCTGCGATCCCATCTCGGGGAAATTCTCACCACCCAGACGGGCCAGCCCTGGAGACAGCATCGCCCAATCGAGAATCTCAGTCTCGGGCTCTCCCTTGCTGCTCTTCCTCATGCTATGTTCAGACAAAGAGGAGCCCCCCCCCTTGCTAACAGAGCGGGCGTCAATTAATTAACTCAGCACTCATGAACTCACACCTGGCTAGGGTCCGCGTCCAGTTTCCTGTTAAACCAAATGCTCCGCCGAAAACACCTGGTTTTCAGAACGTTTGGTTTACCTTCCTTGTCCCAGGCGGGTAGCCAAGCCGCCAGAGCCAAGGATGCCCGGGGTCATCCTCCTCTCATGCACACAGCATACCTCTTGTCAACTCTTACTCTATTTCCTTACTCGTTCACTTCCCGGAGGCACTTTTTTCTGATTCTGTTCTCTGTTAAAATTTGTATTCCCCACAAATGGTATTTCACATCTAGACTGGGAAGAGTTTTTGTCTATGCCTCTCTTATAGATGCGTCTGTCTGTTATTGGCATTTGTATAGCTGTTATCCTCTTTATTGGAAGCTCCTCACAGGCTGAGTTCATGTCTGATTTATCAGGATTTACAGTATCTAGCACTAAGCAAAACTTTAAAAAAAACTTATTGAAAGAGAGAATTAATGAACGAATGTGTTTAAGGAGAGAAAAAGAACCTTCCCTAAAGTTTGAAGAATAACAACAAACATCCTGAATTTTGCTTTGGAAACTACCTCCTTACCAGTTCAATCCACTTCCCTAAATGCATTTTGTGACTTCTTGCTCTAAACTCTCAGATATTGAAATTCATTTTATTAGTTCTGATCTGCATATGCTGGGAAGGAGTGAGTAAGGAGTATGGCTTTTCCTGAGTGGGGTTCATAATTATATATTTACACTCCCAAGTTTAGGAAATGTAGAGTGTATGTTCGCTCAAATATAATGAAATCCTCATGAGGTCTAAGAATCAAAAATGAGCCGGGCTCAGAGGCTTAGCCTGTAATCCCATGCTTTGGGAGGCTGAGGTGAGTGGATTGCCTGAGCCTGAGGGTTCAAGACCCGCCTGGGCAAATTGGCGAGACCTCATCTCTACAATAAAATCAAAAAATTAGCCGGGTGTGGTAGCACATGCCTGTAGTTCCAGCTACTTGGAAGGCTGAGGCGGAAGGATCACCGGAGCCCAGCAGGTCGAGGCTGCGGTGGCCAGGAGCATGCCACTGCACTCCAGTCTGGGCAGAGTGAGACTTCAATTAAAAAAAAAAAGATTAAAAAATGTAGTTCCCTTGATAACTAGAAGTTAGATCAGATGCAAATAGGGAGTTTGATGAACAAAACAACTGCCAACCTAGATTTCTATACCCAGCAAAACTAGTCCTCAGAAATAGAACTAAAACAGTCATTTTTAGAAACAAAAGTTTGAGGGAATTTGTCATCAGTAGACACACAATGAAGAGAATATTAAAGAGCATCCTCCCAGTGGGTGGGAGTTTCCCCACATGGGAGCCTGCAAATGCAGAAGTCCAGCAAAAAAGGCAAAGGCAAAGTTGTGAGTGAAGTTTTATTTTTGTGTGTCAGAGTCTCACTCTGTCACCCAGGCTGGAGTGCAGTGGCACATTCACAGCCACCCCAGTGTCGACCTGCAGATCTCAGGCAATCCTTCCACCTCATCCTTTTTTTTTTATTATAGAGATAAGGTCTCGCCAAATTGCCCAGGTTGGTCTCAAAACCATGGACTCAGGCAATCCTCTCATTTTGGCCTCCCAAAATGCTGGGATTACAGGCTTGAGCCACTGTGCCCAGCCCCATGAGTGAACTTAAATGAACTCTGATCATGTGCACAATAATAACACAGTAATATAGCATTATAATTGCTTAATATAATAAAATATTGTAGATTTTATATGCACATATTAAACTAAACAAATATACAAACAAAAATAGAAAATTATTGGATAAATATGGAGGACTTAGAGGAAATAAATGTTCAATGGGCCAAAAGAAGATAATTCCAGATGAAAACTCAGAGATGAAGACATGAAAAACAATTCAAAGGGTAAATATGAGGGCAAATTTAAGCTCATATTAACTGTACAAAATGATAAAAACATACAATAATGTTTTATGGAATTCAAAAATATATGGAATCAAAATATATAACAATAATGGCATATGATTTTCAAGAAGAGAGAATGGGGTTGAGTATTCTAAGGTTGCAGCATTGTCTTAGAAATAGTAAAAGTCCTAATGTATGTTAGACTTTAATAAGTTAAGGATGTATATTATAATCTCCAGTACAACTACTAAAAGAATAGTAATAGGATGTAAGTTAATAAAATATATAACTACCGCCGGGCTCAATAGCTCAGTCCGAAATCCCAGCGCTTTGGGAGGCCAAGGTGAGTGGATTGCCTGAGCCCGTGGGTTCGAGACCCACCTGGGCAACTTGGCGAGACCTCATCTCTATGATAAATCAAAAATTAACCAGGTGTGGTAGTGCGTGCCTGTAGTTCTGGCTCCTTGGAAGACTGAGGCAGAAGGATCATGGGAGCCCACGGGGTGGAGGCTTTGGTGGCCGGGAGTGGCCACTGCACTCCAGTCTGGGCGACCGAGTGAGACTCCAACTCAAAAAAAAAAAAAAAATTAAATGGATAACTACCAAGACAACAGAATGATTGTTAAAAAAATCAGTCCAAAGGAAAGCAAGAAAGGAGAGAAAAAGGAACATAAAACAGGTGAAAAGGAAAATAGTAAAATGTTAGATTTAAGCCTAAATATGCCAATAATTACATTAAATAAAAATGGAATAAATGCTTCAATTAAAAGGCAAAAATTATCAGATTGCTTAAAAACAAAACTTTTTTTTTAGTCAGAGTGCAGGGGCATGATCATGGCTTCTGCAGCCATGACCTGCTGGGCTCAGGCGATCCTTCTGCCTTAGTCTCCCAAGTGGCTGGGACTATAGGTGCATGCCACCATGCCTGGACTTTTAAAAATTTATTGTAGAGACACCATATTTACCCAGACTGGTCTCAAACCCCTGGGCTTAGGCTATCCTTTCTCCTCGGCCTGCCAAAGTGCTGGTATTATAGGCATGAGCCACGGCAGCCAGCAAAACAAAAGAAAACTTTACAGGTTTGTAAAATATTATGATTCCAAGAGGATCATTGGAAAAAGATATCCAAGCACTTACTAAAAGAAAGTGTTAATTAAATAAGGAAATATAAACATTCTAAGTTTGTATACACTGAATAACCTAACCTCAAATTTTATAAAGCAAAAATTGTCATAACTTTAAAGAAAAATACACTTTTAATCACACTTAGATTTTTTTTTTTTTAATTGGAGTCTCACTCTGTCACCCAGACTGGAGTGCAGTGGCCACTCCCGGCCACCGCAGCCTCAACCTGCTGGGCTCCGGCGATCCTTCCGCCTCAGCCTTCCAAGTGGCCGGAATTACAGGCATGCACTACCACGCCCGGCTAATTTTTTGATTTATTGTAGAGATGAGGTCTCGCTGCCCAGGTGGGTCTCGAACCCGCGGGCTCAGGCAATCCACTCACCTCAGCCTCCCAAAGGCATGGGATTACAGGCTGAGCCACCGAGCCCGGCTCCACACTTAGATATTTTAACACACTATTTCAATAAGTGGTAGAAGCAGAAAAAAATCAGCAATAATACAGAATATTTAAATGAGATGATTCATATACTTGACCTAATTAACAAATAGAGAAGCAACCCTTTACCAAGTATACATTTCTTTTAAATATATCTTCAAAAATTCACTGTATGCTAGGCTGTGAAGAATTGAAATCATAGAATATGATCTCTGGAATTAAGGTAGAAACCCATACCAAAAAGATAACTGATGTAGTCCCTATTCTTTGGAAATTATAAAATTTAATTCTAAATAATGATAGGGGACTAGAGAAAGTTGCTGGAAGTAGTAGGTTCTTTGCTTTTCCTCATGTTTAGTGTACTAGTGTCTGCAAACTTTACCAAGATGTCTTTGCTGAGAAGGAGGAAATCAGAGAAAATGTGACTAGTCCAGAGAAACCTGAAGAAGCAAAATTGGGCCAGGTATGGTGGCTTACGCCTGTAATCCCAACACACTGGGAGGCCAATCCCTTGAGACCAGAATTTTGAGACCAGCCTGAGCATCTTAGTAAGTTTTAAAAATTAGCCAGAAAGAGAGAGGAGGGAAGGGTTGCAGGGACGAAAAATTACCTATTGGGTATAATGTGCACAGGTGGGGTGGTGGGTACACGTAAAGTCCAGACTTCTTCGCCACTGTACAATGCAATCACGTAACCAAAAAACGACCTGCACCCCCTAAAACAATTGAAATAAATATAAATAGATAAATAAAATTAGCCAGGCTTGGTGGCTCACCCCTGTGATCCCAGCTACTTGGGAGACTGAGGTGAGAAGATTGCTTGATCCTGGGAGCTGGAGGCTGCAGTGATTGCCCTTAGCATTCCAACCTGGGTGACAAAGCAAGTCTCTGTTTCTACAAACACAATTTTTTTTTTTTTTTTTGCTGGGTGCAGTGGCTCACACCTGTAATCCCAGCACTTCGGGAGGCCGAGGCGAGAGGATTGCCTGAGCCCAGGGCTCCGAGACCAACCTGGGCAACTTGGCGAGACGTCGTCTCTACAGTAAATCAAAAACTTAGCCAGGCGTGGTGGTGTGTGCCTGTAGTCTCAGCTACTTGGAAGGCTGAGGCAAAGGATCACCTGAGCCCAGCAGGTCAAGGCTGTGGTGGCCGTGAGCATGCCACTATACTCCAGTCTGGGTGACAGATTGAAACTCCAACTCAAAGAAAAAAAAAACAAGAAAAATAAATTGAAAGCAAGTTATCTTCATCTGGGATGAAAACTTGGAGTTCAAATTTCTTGAAGAAATAGCCATAAAAGGACATTTAAAAAATTCCGGGGGATTACAGCAAGGCACAAGCAAAAATATAGATCAAGCAACTTCCTGCTGTGGGCTCAGATGAGGCAGAGGTGACTGGTGGTCATGTTCCACTCGACAGGACCCCACAGAGAATATTCCAGTGGCTAGTTAATTCGCTGGCTGAGTAAAGAGCTGAATTGTGAATCTTCTCATTTTTATTATTTATCCTTACATCTCAGCTTTTATTTCCTTCCATAGACCAAGTCACTGAGACTAACAGCTTTGCAGAGAGTGGTAGCATGTTCTGTTTATGGGAGGGGTATATTCTTAAAATTTAAATGCATATAATTTTTGGATTAGTTGATTGGGTAATGTACTGACAAAGTCCTAGAAAGTAATAACCAATTTTTATGATTTTAATGTTTTGGCTTTCCTCACTTAATTATAGCCTTTCAATGTTTTCTTATTTCGTATAAACCCCTATTGTGTTACTTTCGTCTGTCATTTTCTTATTGGACTTTGTAAAACAGAAGCTAAGGTCACAAATTGGTAGACAGATCACATTTCAAACAGGTAAATGAATAAGTGGAGTTCTAAAAGGTTTTTATCTCTGTAGTTGAACTTGATTTGTTTAGACCTGCTTCATTTTTGACGATAGGGGCATTTCCCCAGTCTGGAGTAACCTTGTGTGATGCCAGTGCCTACTTTAGAATTGCCCTATGTACCTAGTGCTTTTCAGTTCCATTATGTTAGAATATCTTTTTGTTGTCTGTGTTGGAGATGTAAATGAAGTGTGCTTGTACACAGAATGTTGAATTCATTTTTGTGCCTTTAAAAAAAAGTGTTATTTTATCTTCATTTAAAAAGCATATTTTAACTGAGTTCAGAATGATAGAGGACTTTTTTGTTTGTTTGTTATGCCCTTTTTAATGTTTTTAAGTTATTGGTCCATTGTCTTCTAGCTTCATAGGGTCTGGTGAGAAGTCTATAATTCTTATCTCTATTTTTCTGTATAAGAAGATATATTGTGTCATCTTTTCTCTAGCTTCTTCTATGATTTTCTCTTTATAATTGGTTTTCAGCTATTTTACCATGATATGATTTATTCTATGTGTGTGTGCATCTTGCTTGTGGTTCATGAGAATTTTATTTTATTTTTATTTCTATTTTTTGAGTCAGAGTATCATTCTTGTCACTTAGGATGGAGTGCAGAGAAAACAGCCCTGACTCAGTGCAGCCATGATCTCCTGTGATCAGGTGATCCTTCCACCTTAGGCTCCCAAGTAACTGAGGCTACAGGTGTGTATCATTATTCCTGGCTAATTTTTATTTTTGTAGAGATGAGGTCTTGTTATGTTGCCTAGGCTGGTTTCAAACTCCTGGGCTCAAGCAACTCTCCTGCCTTGGGCTTCAAAGTGTTGGGATTACAGGCATGAGCCACCTGTACCCAGCCAAGAGTTTTAGGTATGTGAGTTGGTTATTTGCTTCATATTTGCAAAAATGTTGGTCATTGTTTCTTAAAATATTTTTTTGTCCTTCCTTTTTGGATACCCAATTATATGTACATTATAGCACTTGATATTGTCCCAAAGATCACTGAGGCTTCCTTAATTTCTTTTAGTCTTTTTTTCCTCTCTTATAGTTTAAATTGTTTCTGTTAGTATTTCTTCAAATTTACTGATTTTCTTCCTTGTGTCCAATCTGCTGTTAATGTCATTCAATGATTCTTTTGTTTTCATTTCTAAAAGTTTTATTTGGTTCATTTTTATATCTTACATTTTTCTCCTCATTATGTTCATGTTTTCTTTTCTTTTCTTTTTTTTTTTTTTTTTTCAGTTGGAGTCTCACCCTGTCGCCCAGACTGGAGTGCAGTGGCTGCTCCCGGCCACCGCAGCCTTGACCTGCTGGGCT